GACCCTTTGCAGCAGCCAGCTGGTTCTGCTTGAAATCTGGATTTGGACGCATCTGAATCACCGGGTGACTGAAATTGAAGGAGAACACCTGTCGGTACAAGTCGAGCGCGCCAGCATTGCAGGCCTCAATCAAACCAGTAGCACTGTCGAAAGTGGTCGTCAAAACCGATCTCGTGTTCTCATTTCCCATGACAATGGCACCCTTGTCACATTCCAATCTTATAGGCAAAAGTCGTAGGAACCGTACTATGCCATCCCCCAATTCCTGCTCCGACCCAGCCGTGCCCTGCGATCCAGGTGTAGCCGGCCTCCCTTGGCTTTCGGCGCGAGCAGATCCGGCCACGGATGATTCCAGATTACCTTCCTTTAAGCTCGGATCCAGCGTGTCGCTCTCGGGATATTGTGGTTTGGTAGCTGAAGGAGACGAATTCGCTGGATCGAATCCCGCCAAGATGCCCTCGTAGGCAGGAGCCCGGTTGTATATGAACCACTCGAGACCATAGACCTTTGCGGTAATGCGACAAGGAAGAGAATCCGCATTCTTCGGTCCGCCTTGTTCCCCACTGTCTGTTTTTCTGCCATCGACATCGCCCGCGACTCCGGAGGCATGTTCTCTTTGCGCTGCTTGATCCTTGCAATCCAGGCCCGCCACATCCGTCCGTCTCACGGTGCGTTTCCAGTAGTGCCATGTGATAAACCCCCCATGTACAAAGATAGTCTCGTTCACGCCGTGGTATCGGATGCCTTTGAAGAAAATCCTCCCGCCCAGGGGCGAGATCTGCAGGGCCCGGATGTCGACATAGGCGCGGTAGTAATGCCAGGTATACGCGCGGATTCCGTAGGAGACGAGGGTCGCGAACAGTCGATTGAAGTAGAGCAGGAAGAAGAGCACGCTTGGTGAAGTGATTAGTAGCCCGGTCTCCGCGATCGCACGGGTCGAACACTCACAGAATACAGGAGACAATGAGTTCCAAGAGGAAGAACCTATGCCGTTTGTTATTTTTAAGCAAATAATCAATGCATTAAGAATACTGACCAATTGAAGCTTGGATCTGGGGTCAGGGACAAAGAAGTTAAACTTGTGCCGGCCATGTTCGCAATCACCAAAACCGTTCACCACCAGCGGACATGATGACGCCGCAAAACAGGCAATGCGATGCGCCCGCGGCAGAGTCCAAGCAGGACAAATGTCCCACAGCTGGTTAGTATAAGGATTCAAGCTAAATGTCCATGAACCGAGAAGCGCTGAAAATCTGCTTCTGAGTGCGACGAGATTTAGCGACTGCGACTCCTGGTATGGAGTAGAATAATAAGTAAACTGAAATTCATTTGAGGTAGTTGTGGATTTAATGTAGTAATTGTACTGAACGGAGTAGTAATCGAAAGTAGGTACGGAGTACGTAGGGGGCAGAAGGGAGCTTGGCCCGAAGTGGGCTGGCTAGACGGGACTAAGTTAGTCTAGGCGGTGTCTGGGCGGTGTCTGGGCGGTGTCTTCCAAGAGACGGGGGGAAGAAGAGGAGCTGGCCAGGAGGAAGAGGAGCAATGACGGGACGGGAACCAGTGATGGATAAGGAATGTCCCCATCCGTCTCCGTCTACGCAACTTCTCTCTCACCGCACAACACCCACACGACCACTGCTGGCTGCTGACCATCAGGCATGCGAGGGGCGCTTGTTTGAAATCCGACAAGGAATCGCTGGAAGATTTCTGATTTCTGATTACTGTTCAACTCTCGCCCGTTGATCGGATCATGCCCTGTTCGAAACATCATTGGGATTGACTTGCGGAATGCTTTGGCGGTGGTCGCATACATAGGCGTACGCGGGCAATCCACCGCGACTTTTGTTGACGATGAGCATCACCACTTCCTCCTTCGGTGGGACAGGCTCGAGTCTGGCTCGAGCTGTAGTGATAGTCGCAGGTGTATCCTCGTTGGTCGCTTCTCTGCTCTCTCTCTTGTACGAAGACTCCTCGTCCTCCAACCCCTCCCCCCGTCCCCCCTCCCCCTTTGATCCCCAGGCAGACAGATATCATTATCATGGTTCAGATGCTAATCGCTTCACCCGATCCAGGTCCATCTGGCTCCAAACGTACGACTTTCCATTCGCTCGTCTATCTAGATCACGCGCTGATCGGTTGTTAGCAAAAACTATCGAAAACCATTACTCCAGCGTTATGTTGTCCGTATATTGTTGATGTGTGTATCCGCCTCCGCCTCGGATCTGAGTGGAGCTGACTGATAGCTCAGGGTCCCCATATACGCGGTCTCATCATGGGCCAGCATCATATCTTTACAAGCAGCAATGTGGCTGGATCCGATCCGTGATGTCTATGAGGTAGATCTCTGCCTTCTGGTGATTCCCATCGTCACGGGCTAACAGCACATTCTCCAGGCATTTACCATCTATACGTTCTTTCAGTTGCTTATCAACTTTCTCGGCGGCGAACGATCGTTAATCATCATGACCCATGGACGACCTCCTGTCCAACATGCCTGGCCCCTCAACCACATACTACCTAAAGTCGACATCTCTGACCCGCAGACCTTTCTTACCGTCAAACGCGGCATTCTTCAGTATGCCTGGCTCAAACCCATTCTCGCCATTATATCTATTGTAATGAAAGCGACCGATACCTATCAGGAGGGCTACCTAGGCCTGACCTCCGGGTATCTGTGGACCGGCATTGTGTACAACGTTAGCGTTACTGTCAGCCTCTATTCTCTAGCTATGTTCTGGGTTTGCTTGCATAACGATCTAGCGCCATTTCGTCCGGTACCTAAGTTCTTGTGTGTCAAGCTTATAATTTTCGCATCTTATTGGCAGGGCTTCTTCTTGTCAATCCTGCAATGGCTGGGAGCGTTATCGAACGGGGTTGCCGGCTACACACCGGACAACCTTGCGGCTGCCATTCAAGACAGCCTGATCTGCTTTGAGATGCCCTTCTTCGCTCTCACGCATTGGTACGCTTTCTCCTGGCATGATTATGCCGATTCGACGATCTCCGCCGCCCGGATGCCCGTCAAATACGCGCTTCGTGACGCATTCGGAGTCCGTGATCTTATTGAGGATACGAAGATGACGATACGTGGTGACAATTACGAGTACCGTCTTTTCGATTCAGGTGACCACATCATCGCACATGCAGAATCTGACTCGCGTGTCCGGCGTGTGATGCATGGTCTAAGATATGAGCGTGGTGGTAAAGCCAAGTACTGGATCCCGACCCCTGGGGAAATCAACAGCCGGACACCGTTGTTGGCCGGGTCGGAAGGCAGCAGCCGGGACCGGCGCAGTAGCACGCTGAGTCGCATGCATTCACACAATGAGATGGAGGAGACAACCCTGGATGAAGATGACGAGAGGCTGTTCAACAACGCTCGAGCGCTGGAATTTGGGGATTGGAACGTAGGTCGCTTCACCCCCTTAACCGAGGAGATATGGTCAGCTGATTGGAGCAGTACCCCGTGATCACCGCGAACGAGGTGCCAGCAGAGCAGCGCCTCGCACGTCAGCGAGCCTCACCACAGCGACAGACATCAGGGGTCGTAAAGAAATCCCGCAAGCAGAAGAAGCCGCGCCCTTCTAGTAGCGATAACAACCATCGTAGCGCTGGAGCCTCTCGCAGCCCGCGTGCAAGCTACGCTGAGCAGAGAGCCAACTCCGCGGCCTCCTACGCCTCTCACCCAAGCCAAATCGTGGATCTTGTTGTCGAGGATCAGAAGGCTGAGGAGGAGGAACGACAGCTGGCGCAGAGGGCTTTCGGCTCCACAACGGTCGAGCCCGAACACCGGCACTTCCAGTATGTATTGTTTTGGTTTAGCGAAGGGTATATGACACTAACAATCGACTTTAGGAGACCAACGGGCGAGCCGGTCGATGAACGGCATGGCGATGACTTCCACGCATTACTTCACCCCGAAGGAAATGATGAGGAAGAGGAATCCAGGAGACAGGGCTGGGCCTACGGGGACCTGGAAGAAGACAATGTTTGGGGCCGGTAGGTGGCGAAGAGCGAGCTGTAGGACCAATGAAGTTGCATGTGTGGTGATAGCGCCAGGAAAACGCCAGGAAATAGTTTCGAGATCAAATTATTTATGTGATGTGGTGGAGGAAAGCTGTACTGTATAAAGATAAAGGGCTTGTACGATGATTGCAGAGGAGGAGGCTAGTGTACTGTACCCGAGCCATGTGCTTTTTTTGATTAACCCACCCTCTTTTTTTTCTGTCAGTTCTGTCAGGGACTCAGGGGCATTTGCGTAACGAGCCCAGCAAGTGACGATGTGACGGGGTTTTCCTGTCACTCGGGCTGATGGTTGGTCCCCCAGCAAATGACGGCCGGCCATTACGCGCCCACCACGCTTTCTCCAGGATTGATAGGAGGACTGACATGGTCATTCATCAATGATGGCTGATCGACAGCCCGACACGCTGGCGAGGAGGAGGAAGAGGAGGGGGAAGGAAAGGGACTTTTGCTTCCCCGCTATTGGTGTCCCTCATTTGATTAGGGCAACAGGAATGGCACCACGACCGTCACATCTTCTGCCTCATGCTGGCCCCTCATTAGTCCAAGGGAAATGGCTGATGCTCGAGCTTCTATCTGAAGCAATCCCGTAGTGTATAGTTAGTCTCTTTGTGTGTGTGTTTGGTCTCGGGGGGAAGTTAAATCATCAGGTCTTTATCTTGCTGGTTCTTTGTCGGTCTGTTTGTCTGCCCGTCTGCCCTTCCCTTATCCCCTACTCTTTCTCTCTCTCTCTCTCTCTCTCTCTCTCTCCCTGGAGGCCTGAGAGGGTGCTTCTTGACTTGACTTTCCTTCCTTTCCACCCCCCCTCTGTGGTTTGCCTTTCATTCACCTTCGCAGCTTTCAATTCTACAATAATTCGTCAGCAGGTTTGTCTGACATCTCGTGTTTCTATTTCACGCTGCTTGGTCCCTCCCCCCCACTGTCTGTTCGCCGGATCCACTGGATGATGGATCAACACATTTGATGCGCTGGCAGCCATGAAGCAGGCAATTGAACAAGCAGGATCTATGTTCACTGGCTGGATATCCTCCTGCTCGTTCTGCGTGCACGCCGGGAATGACGACGAGAGTTATCATCATCATCAAGAAGCCATGCAGCGTAGAGGTAATGTCTTACTTCCCATCGGTCCAGCCTTGAGCATATTACCTTCCAAACACAAACACAGCCCTAAGACGGCGCCTCACAGCCTTACAAAACAACACAACCCACCCAACCCAGCTCCAGTAAGTCACTGACTGGGAATAATTCCCATCTCCCTCACAGGTGCCGAACGGGAGATGAAGATATGCCACACCCAGCAACCGCGTCTCATTCCCCCGATGAAGCCTTTCGTCTACGATGAAGCTCCGACCCCACCACGCCCCCGACCCCGGACGCCATCCTTTCCCTCATGGATGCTCGAAAGCAAGAGCCGGGCCAGCATCTCTCTGAAGAGGAAATCGACCGCCGCGCCGCCCATCCGCATCAGCGCCCCGTCCGACTTCCGACGAGTGTCGACCTTCCGGCCTGACGCCGAGGTTGCAGTGGCGGATGGATTGTTCTCTCCGCTGGAGCTGAGCTTCGAGACCCCAGGCCGCCAGCTGCCCGCCCTGCCTCACTTCGAGGACTTTTCCCTCGAGACCGATCGTCGTTCCCCGGTCAGCATCATCCGGCCTCCGCGAGCTGTAGCCCTAGCCGGCGAGAGAAGTCGTCCGCCTCAGCCGACTCCGCGAGCCCAGCATCGACCGTCGTCCTCATTCCAGCTGCCCCGCAAGCCTGTGGGCTCTGGATCACGTCGTTCGTCGCTCGCAGCGCATGAGTACCTTGGTGTTGGGGAGACACAAGCCGCCGCCACCACCACCACCAGCAACAACAGCAGAAGCAGTCCCTTCATCCCTCACTTCTCGAGTCGCAGTTCATCTGCTATTGCTATCGTACCAAGCACAAACACAGACAACCAAGCTCCGCCCCGACAATCCATCAACGCAGCAGCAGCAGCAACAAGAACAACAACATTCAAAGCCCCCAGAACACCACCCCACCCGACCAACCTGCAGGACAGGCCGCTACCATGCATCCCCACCCCAGAAGAAGACGGCGAAACCTCCGCATCATCGCGAAGCACAGCCTCCTCCACCCATCCCCCCAGAACCCCCACCGACGACCGCGAACGAACCCCCTCCCGCTCCGGCCGCGTCACACAATGGCTATTCCACGCCACCAGCAGCAGCAACAGCAACAGCAGCAGCCCAACCACGAAAAACCAGTCCCCGGCCCCCTCCCCTCCCGCCTGGCTGAAACAGGAGAACCCTCCCCAGAAAGGGGGTAGCAGTCCCTTCCGCATCCGCTCGCGCACCCTCAGCGGATCGACGCTCGCCTCCTCGATCACGAATCTAACCGGAGGGGTGGGAGGAGGCTTCAAGGGCAGCAGCGTCAGCAGCAGCACAGCAACATGCCCGGCTCCTCCTCCTGCTGCTGCAAAGGGAATCCCCAACAAAGAGCTAGGCAGTCCGTTCATCCCGCGGGTGGCGGAAGACCGCAGCGTGTACCCCACTATCTTCGAGAGCGAATATCATCACCACCCGCAGCAGCAGCGACACTCCCACCCCTCCCACCACCAAGATCAAGAAGAGTACGAAGACCTGCGCCAATCCCAGTATTACGAGAACTACCGACACTCGGCCGTTGGACTTGCCTTCTGACAGTTTGACTTTCGACTTTCGCCTGAACTGTACCAGAAGCACACCCACAAAACTCGGTCGTCCATCCCGGGATATATGTCCGCTCCCTAAAATAAACCCCGTCTCCAAAAAGAAATATAACGAAAGTTTGACCAAAAGATACGGATACGGAACCTCCCTTCCCCAGACTATTCCCCCGCAGCTTAGGGTATGTCACTCGTTATACCTCGCCCCCCTCCCCCCCCGGAATCCCAATAAACTCAAGTCTCGATGTGATCTGATTTTGATGTCCTGATGCTCATGCCCATGCCCATGCCTTAATGCTCTGATTTATACACCCCGCCACCCCCAATTTCGCTTTTTCTCCTTCTCGGATCATCGATGTCGGTTGCTTGAATTTCCAAAGCATAAAGCATACCCCATTCGTTTCTGGCTGCCCCTAAGACAGGATGCTAATTCTCGATACCCCCCCTTCCCCTGGACACTCGCTTACGCATAATGTCTCTCTCCATGGTTTGTCTCTCGTTCAATACCCCAGGATGATAATGGGATTATCTACAGTCACATAGACGGACATAATTGACCCTGCCGTACGCTCGTTGAGGTTCTGGACAGTGTCACCTTTTTCCGGACGTTAGAGTATGGAAATGAAGGAAGGAAGGGTGTTTGCATCCACCTAGTAAGGAGGGTAGTGAGGTTTGCACGCAGTAAGGATCTTCTTCAATGCTAAGGGCCATTCTTTCGGTAGGGTTTAGCGCGGAGCAAACCAGTATAGTACTGCGTAGATAGGTATATTTCGGCTTGTCTCAGCTCCCTGACTGCACATATACCACAGGCGACATCGCGCCGAACACCCACATCATGGAAAACTGCAGCACCTACGAATCATCCGGGAAATACGGAGTAAGCAGAACAACATAAATACTTCACTGCCGCAACACGAACATCTGGATATCTTCAGGTATATAACAATCCAAATCGAATCCATCAAACAAACACAAACTGTCACGGTCACTGGCCAAGGGCAGTATGTCAATCCTTGCATACACCTTCGTTTCACTTGGTATCATGTCTGAAAAAGAAAAAGCTGTTTCGATGAAAGAAAGAAAAAAAAAAGAACTTGGCCAAATCCACCAGCCGCGTGTTTGTTTCCCGTATGATATCTCACTCCAAGGTCCCCTATGGATATCTCTCAACCCTTGGCTTAAACTGAACAAGATCAAAAAAAAAAAAAAAAATACAACAAACATCTGGCAAAAAGAAAGAAAAAAATGATAGAGAGGAGAATATCACCGGGAGGGCAGACCCAAACAAGACCAGGAGTAGGTGATAGATGTCAACACAACAATCTTGTATGCTTTGCATGTCTTGCCTCCGTTTCCTGTTTTATATCTTTTTTTCCTGTGACGTCTTGATTGCATGCATGCACTCTGTGGTATCAAGAAGAATCCGAAAACACAAATCGCTGACAACAAATCTCAAAATAATATCAAAAGAAAAACACTAGAAAGTCTCTTGGGGTATACTGCTGCAAATTGACATTGATTTTAACGCGGTGGCCCGATGGGGGCCGGGTATCCAGAAGTAGAATTGGAAGTACTAGGACGACCACTGTCAAAAGAGGCGCGCGGGTCATGCTTGGGTGTCATGTCCCCCGGCGCGGTACCGAATGGAAATTTCGTGTCAAAGCGCGCGGGCCAGCCATTGCTGCTGCTGTGGCTGTGAGAGCTTCCGAGGACCGGCAGGTCGTCCTCGGCAAGGTTCACGCCGGAATCGTTCCATGGGTTGCGATAGCCACTGTCGCGGGACTCCATCGAAACCAAGGACGCTTTCGACGCATTGCTGGACGCATGCTTAAAGAAAGATCCTGGAGACGCCGAGTGGTTCTTGCGACCAATGAACGAGGAGAAAGAAGAGATACTACCAGGCTTGCGCAGTCGCTCAAAAATGGACCCGCGCTCGCTGGTTTCATCGGAGAAGTTGGGTCGGGTAGGAGAGTCGGTGACGAGGGGGGCAGGAGCATGCTGCAACAATTTGGAGTCGAAGAAAGGCAAGGACTCTTCGAACGAGTCGGATTTGGGTCGCGGGATGGCGCCCTTGACTGTCGTCGCGTCAAGTCCGTGAGCCACAAGGCGCGAGATCAAGAAATCGATCGCATCCTTCAGTCCGCCGGCATTATTGCGAGTGTATCCGAGCACCACGCGGTCTTCAGGCCCGAAAGTGGGAGAAGAGGACCCCGAGGCACTGTCAGATGTCGGAAGGTCCGAAGTTGTATCCACGGTGGTGTCAACCTCGTATTGTTCCTTCAGCTTAGCGCAGACATCTTCACGGAAGTCGGGGGACTTGAAGAAATCTCGCAATTCTGCGGAGCTTTGGAAGAGGAGTTCGTGACTCTCAGGGACCATTCCCTATACGGTACTTAGAACTGCGACCACGGGAAAGGTAGAATAGGACATACCAATAAGGCGTCAACCGCCTGCGGAACCTGGTACTCCGGTCCAGAGATGTTCACAACGTCACTGGCAAGCTCGGTACTAGGGAATTCAATCTTGCAGTTCCACTTCTTCTCCAGTTCGTCGATTTCAGAGATGCGGGCGAGCAATTCACGGTGATACAGGCGGTTGATGACCACTCGTTCCGAGACATACTCGGCATCCTGTGAAACGCGTCAGCTGAAGGGTCACCAGTGGTCAGACAAGATATAAACTTACGACTTTCTCGACCATGTCCATGATCTCCTGCTTCACCAAGTCGAGACTCTGGGCATTGCGTGCAGGGGTCCGGCAGATGACGTTATCAACCTTGATATCATCGTCTTCTTTGCCCATTCCGCCGCGGTCCATGGCGTTCGAGAATTTGACGAAAACCGAGTATTTCTTCATGATGCGCTGGATATGCTGACCACCGATTCCAATGATTCGCTTGTGATATTGATCGGGCACATGGAAGGAGATCGAAGCGGGCATCTCCTGTTCAACAAGATCTAGGCCATTCTTGGTGGATTCGTACTGATTACCGCACACGTCGATGTAGAAGTTGTACTCGTTGAAACCATCGAAAATGATTTGCACATTGCCTGGAAGGGTCAGCCTTTCGCTTCTTGCGGCCAGTCACAGTCAATGAACGCACTCTGTCCCATGATCTTGTTGATCTTGCCGTTCTTCTTGCCGCTGACAAACTCCTTGTGCTCATTCGCGAGTTCGATCTTGACGCGCATCTGGTACTGGCTCCGCTGGACAAACGGGATTTGGTTGATCACCATCATCGCAGCCTTGACAGCATCATCAGATCCATTGATGGTGAAAGTCAAGTTGTCGAAGCTGACGTCAGCACCCGAATTGCTGCAGATGTCGGACAGCATGGTACGAACGTCGGCGGCGGAGGGGGCACGGATCCCACCTTGGGACGGGTCGGGCATGATAATCCACCACGAGGCGCTGTAGAACTGGCCGGCCTGTCATGATCTGTCAGTGACTTCCGATGGAAAGGTCTTCCGCCCGAGCAATTATAGCACCTACCAAAGCCATGATCTCGCGAACCGTGCGCTCGACGTGCAGAACCTCTGTGCCCTGAATGCGAACCACACCCCGCTGGATTCCCAGCTGGGGAAAGTGAACGTAAGATCCGTTCATCTCCATGACCTTCCGGACTTTGTCGAGGCGATCAAGCAAGATGTTGTCGATTTTGTTCGAGTTGACGATGACATCTTTCACGTAGATCTTGACCCCCATTACCAGCTCCCGCAACTTTTGCTTGGCGCGAGCAATCTGCTCTTGAGTGTCACCCGTAATGTAAACCTCATCCTCACTGCGACGGTGGGCACCGGGGGGCGTGTATCCAAAAATGCGCGGGAAGGGTGGAGGAAAGTAGATGGCCGTTCCGGTTGCCGCCTCAATCAACTTGATGTTCTTGCGAGTCCGACCGCAGACCAAAGTGTGCATGGTGAGCTCCAGCTTCATGGCATCCACGTGACGTTTGAGCTAAGAATTGTTAGTATCCCGACCGTCTCCTTCGCCATAGCAAGCACCTACAATTTGATCGATCATGATCAACACGCGAGTCTTGGCATGCTCCGCGCTCTCCATGTCACCATAGATAGACACCCGGAACCGCTGATCCAGCCCATTGTCCGATGCATAGCCATAAGAGGAGATCACAGCACTATCGTTGTCGCGAATCTTGGGGTTGAGGAGGAAGATATCGGTGCCAGTGTAAGCAGCCAGGGTATCGAGATGCTCCAAAACACTGGAACGGATATTCTTGGTCGATCCGTCGATAATAAGATGGACGTCAACATCCACGGTCGCACAACGCTATTAGACCAGGATCATCAGTATTGGGCGAGCAAGCAAAAGTCGCCGTGGCGAAACAGGGCCATTATTGGGGCCATACCAGCAAGATTGGCGTCTCATTCAAGACCCTTGCCCGCATCTTGCGCACAGTCTCTCCATCGCCGGTGATACAGACATTCGTCGCCAATCCTTGGGGTCGTCGTTGTAGTGAGGGGACCGTTTTGGGCTCGGAAGACGTGACAACGGCCTCTACTCGACCGTTACTGCTCTCGGTGATCTGGCGACATAACCTCCGCAGGGCCTCGACATTGCTGGCATGGACGGGAAGCTGGTGGACGGGGGTTCCTTCCGGGGTGCCCTCGGGAAAGGACCAGCGCTGAAGGGCACCAGGACTCGCGTGCAGGACATCGTCGGCATCGGGACCGGCCAGAGTGGAGGAAAACGGGACATTGAAGGAGAGGTTGACGGTAGGATCAATGCCGGTGGGCGGAGTCATCGGAGGTGCGCCGTGCGGTCGACGAAGGGAGTGGGAGCTCATATCGGTGTGCGGTCGAGACATGCCGAAAGTGGGTGTCATTCGCTCCCAGCCATGACGGGCCTGACCCGTAAAATTGGAGATCTTGTGCATGACAAGGGCGGGTCGAATCTCTAACCCCTTGAACGAGTCGAGGGGAGAGGAGGGGGATGGTCGAGCAGCGGAGGGAAGGGAATGGCGAATGAATCGGAGGA